CGCCAGAGCCCAGCAGGTCGAGGCTGCGGTGGCCAGGACCGGCCACTGCACTCCAGTCTGGGCGACAGAGTGAGACTCCAACTTAAAAAAAAAAAAAAAATTAAAAAAAAAAAAAATAGATGATTCCCATGGCTCTTTGCTCATCTGAAGCCTCATCTAGGAAACCAGGGGCTTAAAATAAAACACGGATATTCTTTTCCTTTTTTTTTTCTCTTCGGCTCGATGTTTGTGATTGACAATTTAGAACTAACCTGAAGAGCTGCCGTGTTGTATTTTGCATGGACCTGTTTTGCCCATAACAAAACAGATGGACAACTGTAACCAGACCCCCACAGTCCTAGAGCCAGAGACCTCATGGTACCGCTGACTGGGACTAAAGCTGGTGCTGCAGCGGGCTCCTGAGTGCAGGGTGGGGAGGCCGTTGCCCTTGACTTCTCTGCCCCTTGACTCCACGTGTGGACTTCACCTTCTCTGGGTTCCCCAGCAGCTCAGTGTGTCCTAGCCCTCAGGCTCTGCACTCACACCCCTTGACTGGGCACCATCCAACAAAGTTCAGGTGTGACTGACTCCCTAAAGTTGTATCTCATGGTTCCCCTACTCCCAGGGTCTCCGCCAAAATGAAACTCTGTGTCTGATGGTTTTTGATGATTGAGACCCTGTTTTCAGTTTGTTTGTTTTTGAGTTGGAGTCTCACTCCGTCGCCCAGACTGGAGTGCAGCGGCCTCTCCCGGCCACCGCAGCCTCGACCCGCTGGGCTCCGGCGATCCTTCCGCCTCAGCCTTCCAAGGAGCTGGAGCTACAGGCGCGTGCCACCACGCCCAGCTAATTTTTGATTTATTGTAGAGATGAGGTCTCGCCAAGCTGCCCGGGCGGATCTCGAACCTACAGGCTCAGGCAATCCCCTCCGCTCAGCCTCACAAACCGCAGGATTACAGGCCGAGCCACCGAACCCAGCTTGTTTTCAGTTTTAACATTATAGTTGCATCATTCCTTCCTCTTCCTTGTTCCATCATCAGCTCCTTCCGCCAACCCTGAACTACATGAGGGTTGCCCCAGCACCGTATGCGATGCAAGTCACACGATCATTAAATGAGTGACTTTGACTTACACCCCGGAGGGCTGTAGTCCAGCTTTCCTCCTCCAGCGACCCTGCCCAGCTTCTCCTGAGACATTTTGCGGTTTCTGAGGTGAGAAAGTGACTTGTCCCGCGTTCCCTGGAATTGTGAATTGGATGCGGATCAGAGGCAACCTTCTCCTACCTGTACCCCTGTGCCTCTGCTCACCAGAGCACCCGCGCAGGGCACAGCTGCCTGGCAGAGATATCAGTGCCGCTGCTGCAGGTTGGTGCTGTGACACCTTGGACCAAATCCTTTGCAGCTTAGAAACAGGGAGGAGAATCTTTTATTTTGAGGGGAAGGAAACTCTGTGGGGGAGAAGCCACAGTATAATCAGTATCCTCTAAGCGGTTGATACAATGAGACTTCTGAGGATAAAATCTCCTGCAGGTGATAAGAAAGTATGGAGGATGAAGTCTTCCTGTTCTCTTGTTTCTTGTGTACAAAGGTCATGGCCCTAAAAGACTTCTTGATAAAGGAAGCAGTCTGAATGTAAACTCCCTAGTTTATTTTATATTTTACATAAACTGTTATACAGAATTCTAGAATACTAGTACTCTGAGGCCAGGGTGGTCAGCACACCATGTTTCCTCTGATAGAGCTTTCCATGGACAAGTGATGTGTGTGTGTGTGTGTGTGTGTGTGTGTGTGTGTGTGTGTGTGTGTGTACATCCATGTGTCTACATGTGTGCATTCCAGCTTGTGTGTGCATGCATGTTCCTATGTGTGAGTGTGTTGGCTTCAAGTAAATTTGCCTTTATTTGTATAGACTCTGACTCCTAGAAGCTCAAACAAATCCATATTCCTATCCCAGTCGACACTTTCTGCTGGAACAAGCTCCTAAGCCAACACAAGTAGCAGAAGAGTCAGCCAGGAAGGAGGTGTTTGAGACACCAACTAAAATTGGGCAGTGGTAATTGTAATTTTGTTTCCACATATTCTATTGCCCGCCCCCCCCCCCCCCCCCCCCTATGCTGTCTCTTCTGGTGAATAAACAACATTCATTTTTAGAAGCTGAGTCAAGAAGGTGATTGCATGCATGCAGACAAATACATGAAACTGCCTGGAGACAGCTGGCTGGGTGATTCTTAAGTATTCTTTGCCATCTTTGCCTACATGCCAGTTTCACTTAACTTTACTTTACTTAACTTTTCATTTAATGTGCCCATTCTTTGTGAGGGGTTCCGTGTTTGCATTCTAGAACTAAGATGAGCTAAGATTGGTTATGCTTCTCATGCACCAGGAAGTGTTATGGAGATGGCACTTGCCATTGTGTATGTAACCTTAATACCCTCCACAGTCCTCTGGGACAGCTATTATGTTTATGCCCAGTTTACACATGGGGAAATGGAGGCATAGATGTTTGGTAACTTGCCAAGAGACACACAGTGAGGCAGTGATAGGACCAGTGTTCAAATCTAGACCATTCACCCCTGAGCCCACACTCTGAACCACCCTGCTACCCTGTCTCTTGATCTTAGGTATGCCTATCTCTCAAGAGTGTTGAGGGTTTTTTGGGGGGAGGGTAACATTTTGTTGTTCTTAAAACTTTTTCACAAGCTCTCCTACCTATCTATGTGTGAAGTTAGAGCACAGAATTCAAAACACATATCTTTCTTCACCATTAGAAATATACACTGTTAGAGAGGATACCATTCATTAACATGCCTCATATGAGTTCTGCTGTATACTTTTCAAAGAACAACCTACCAATATTGTAATAATTGTTTATGAAAATTACATAGATACCATGTAACTTTGTTTCTATGTCATTATCTATTTGCCAGAATTTTTTTTATTGCCTCTTAATAGTTACCAGACTTCCCTACGTCCCCACTCCT